GTCCCAGCCAATCAGGGCGCAGCATAGGCTGTTGCTGGCCCTTTAGTAGATTTATTAATATATAACACAAATAAGCCCCCCCTGCTGTGGTGCAGGAGGCCAACTTGGCCACGCCCCCCCCCGCCCCCATGGCCACATGCACACAGCAACCGGGCAGAGAACCCCTGCTAACATTTTTGAAGCCCATTCCTGGATGTTTTTTAGTGCATGGAAAGCTGCTTAGAATTGATGGTGGGAGGGCAGAAGGAAGGAAGGAAGGAAGGAAGGAAGGAAGGAAGGAAGGAAGGAAGGAAGGAAGGAAGGAAGCATTTTTTGTTTCTGCAAGTCTGATTTTAATCTCAACTCTTGACCACAAGAACCAAAAATAAATTAAAAAGATCCAAATAACATCAAGAGAAAGAGTGTTGGTGATATAAGGAACTTCCCATTCTTATTTTGCTTAAGCAAAGTGAAAATGAGACCACAAAGGGACCTCTATCACCAATCTCTATGATATTCTGTATTTTCCCACTACTTTGGGGGGGGCACTTATTTAATATCTCGGGGTTCATCTGAATATTTTCAGTGCTTTTATATCAAAGCTGCCAGCCTTGTTTTTGCTTGAGAGGTTTTTAACTGTTGGAACCATACCTACCATTAAGAATGTTTCTGTATAATGGAGAGGGCGGGAGAGGGAGGGAGAGGGAAAGGGAGGGAGAGAGAGAGAGAAAGAGAGAGGGAGGGAGGGAGAGAGAGAAGGATCCTTTGTTTTTCTCTTAACTCTCTTCTGAGTGCCACCAAGTTTAAAACCAGGAAATACTTGTTCCTCGTACACATGTAATGAGTCCTGTCTGAATTCAACATTCTTTTTTATACAATCGCTAACCGAAACAACAGTAGCCATACTGACCTATAATGTCAGAAGAAGGGACTGAACTCAAGTTGAACTATTTTGATGAATGTTTAACTTAAAGACAAATAATCTTTCATAATGCGACTTTGTGTGTGTGTCTGTGTGTGTTTTATATCCTGCATGAAATAAACTCCGGGTGAACATATTTGAAAGAAAACAAATGCATATCTCATATACAGGAAGAGTGGCTATTGTAGATGCGAGATAAGCAATGACTGAAAGAAACTTGGGAAAAAGTCCTGGTTTTTTTTTTTCCTAAAGGAAAAGACACCGTATTGTAAATATGAACTAATTAAAAATAGCACGACTGTCTTTAAACAGAGCAGTGCCATAACCTTGCTTCTAGCAAATCATTAACAGGGTGTGAGAGATGAAGATGCTTAATTCCTTTTGCATAAAAACAACCAAAGGATACCACATGTTCTCAAAACCTTTGTCTGTATCCCTAAGCGATGTTTGTTTATGACACAAAGTTTTTCACTGATCTTTCCCATCCAGACCATCCCCGATGCCCAGAAAGACTGCAGAAGGAGGAGGAGGTGGGAAATGTTCACCCTTTTACTGATG